ACCGGATGGCAGGGGACAAACGCACGTGCTCTCAGTTCCGGAGGCCAGAAGGCCGGATCGGTGTGTTGGCAGGGCGGCGCCTTCTGAAGGCTCTGAGACGACGCTCGGGACTGTCCCCAGCTTCCCGTTGCCCACAGTCCGTGGCGTGGAGACGCATCACTCCACTCTCTGCCTCCGTCTTCACGGGGCCGTATCCTCTGTGTGCCCTTCCCTCTTTTTATAAGGACGCCAGTCCTTGGATTTAGTACTGACCCTAAAGCCAGGATGCTTTCATCTCAAGATCTTTAATTACATCCACAAAGACCCATATTCCAAATAGGGTCATATCCTGAGGTCCTAAGTGGGCGTGAATTTTGAGGGCCACCGTGCAACCCCCTGTACCCTCTGAGCAGGCGGATCCCTGGTCGCCTGCTCTGTCTTCTAGGACAGAGTCTCCAAGTCACACAGTCCAGGGGCTGATCCCGGCTTTTCCATTTTCCAACAGAGTGTGACTTTGGATGTGCCACCTCCCTCTCCAAGACCCTAAAGGATGGCCTCAACCTTGGAGGGTGGTTAGGAGTTCAAATGAAGTGGTGTGTGGAAGAAAGTCGCTACAGTGTGTGACTGTGACACGGATGTCCCTGCCATGGTGTCTTGTTGGAGTTCAGGGGCAAGGGTGGTGGGCAATAAGCAAATCAAGTTTCCAAAACTAGCTCTGAGAATGCACAAGGAAATGAGAACCGAAGGGCCATTCGGCCCTGGGAACCGGGAGCTGGCTGAATTTCGTAAAAAGTGTCATTTTCTGCAGTTGCTACGTGACCATGCTGTAAGGACTGTCCCCTCCACAGATGGCAGCTTCCTCGATTGTGAAGATCGATTCCACGAGAACATTCTCATCACTTCTAGGTCCATCTTTCTCTTTCCCCCTCTCTCCCAGGTAGCAATTTTCTGGTACAGTACCTGTCGTGGTACCCGCAAAAGGGAAGTGGGTGATACGCTTACCTTGGAGGCAGCGCCTGTGATTTTGTGGCTGTTGATTGATTTATTAGCTACTTACTGCCCTCCCTGTGACTAGGGGAGGAAGGGTCTCTGCCATCCCTGTGTTCGGGGCCAGTGCTGGAGACAGGTGGTTTGGAGGCTTCCCGGGCCCGTTGGCAGTGGGGTGACATGCAGATGGTCAGGGGCCTCACCCGCTGGTGGAGGGTGGGATCCAGGAAGGCCTCCCAGGGAAGGCGAAGGGTGTTCCAGTCGGCAGGGACACAGCCAGACTGGCATTGGAGGAAGGGGCCCTTGGCCGCCACTGCATGGAGCAAGGATGGGCCGAGCGGAAATCAGTGAGGTTAGAGGCGGCAGGAGGCCAAGGATGAGCCTCCGGTCTTGGCTGGGCAGCAGGCGGATGGGACACCACGCCCGGGGGGTGGGGAAGGAGGAGTGCACATGGCAAAGGATAAGGAATGAGTTCAGGCCAGGCAAGGCTCACGCCTGTAATCCTAGCACTCTGGGAGGCCGAGGCGGGTGGATTGTTTGAGCTCAGGAGTTCGAGACTAGCCTGAGCAAGAGCGAGACCCCATCTCTACTAAAAATAGAAAGAAATTATCTGGACAACTAAAAACGTATATATAGGAAAAGTTAGGCATGGTGGCGCATGCCTGTAGTCCCAACTACTAGGGAGGCTGAAGCAGGAGGATCGCTTGAGCCCAGGAGTTTGAGGTTGCTGAGAGCTAGGCTGACGCCACGGCACTCACTCTAGCCTGGGCAACAAAGTGAGACTCTGTCTCAAAAAAACATTAAAAATAATAAAAAAAGAGTTGAGTTTGGGTCACGGCAAACTAATGATCTGGCAGGATCTGGGACAGCAGGCTGGAGACTTTGATTGAATGTGAGCAGTGTTGAGAACACAGGTGTTGCTGAGACCAGCAAAGGGGAGAGTCACCCTGTCCAAGGACAGGGTCACTTCCAGCATGGGGGCAGGGACATGGTGAGACCCAGGAGGGAGGAGAAAGATCAGGAGGCGAGACTGTGGCGCAGAACGGAGTGAGCAGCGTCTGAGGGGGTGATACCGTCGCGCAGGTAGGAACCCGGGTCACAGGCCGTGTGATACAGAGCAACGACTTCGGAGAGAGGAGTGCCAGGGTGTCGTGGGGACAGCAAGGATTCTCGCGGGGGAAACGCAGCCGTGGGGGTGTCCAGTGCCAGCAGCTCTACGGGCATCAGTTCTTGGGGTTGTGCAGAGGGACTCTGGGTCCGTGTACCTGGAAAAGCCAGGGGCAGCGGCAGGTGAGCAGAGTTTTTGTGGCTGAAAGTAGTGACAGCAGCGCTTCCGGGGAGGCTGCTCCCTGCGCCCCGCGACTCAGTCTTTCCGAGAGCCCGGGGGACTGGTGAAGCTGCTGAGGCCCACCACGTTTCTCGATCAGCTATGTCTTTGCCCTTTTCTAGAACTTCTCTGCTTCTGGCATGACAGACTCTTGACTTAAAACCAGAATTGTTTTCTGCTCCGCTGAATATTTTCATCCCACGTTGCTAAAAGCTGCATCTTTACTTGAGGGCAAGGTCTGAGAAAGAAGAATTTCCTCTCCTGTAAAATACGAATGTGGTTTTTGTAAAGCGCCCTGCGGCTCCCACGGTGCTGAGAAATAGCAGCGGTGGCTTTTGTCTGCAGGGCGAGGTATTTCTGAGGGAAATTATGGCCAGTAGCCACCTGGGGGCTTCGGTGTCCCTGCGCCTGGCCCTCAGAGCACCAGGATTGTAGGCGAGAGCCACCACGCCTGATCCACTTCCTTTTCTTTGCTGTGTGTCTCACCTGTCTCTTTTCTCAATCCAACTCATTGACTGTCTATCCACGTTGCTATCTCCACTCAGTCACTGAACAAATATTGGAGTATTTTTGAGTATCTGTTAAATGCAGGACTCTGTTGGAGGCACTGGGTGTACAGTCGCCCCGTTGTACAGTGTGCTCAGTACTTAGATGGAAGGTCTTCCTTTTAAGGTGTCCAGCAGAAGAGACTGGCAAGAAGCCACCATTGAGGTAGGAGGAATATCAGGCGGGCGTGTCCTTCCAGAAACCAGTGAAGGAAGCGTTTGAAGAAAGGAGTGATTGATCTGCCACATTCAGTGCTGCTAGGAGGCGGGGGGATACATGGGCGTCACCCGTGATGTATAGAGACATCACAGTTAATTTTCACTGCTGTATAGTATTCCCTCACGTGACTTAGAGAAGACTCATTTCTCTCTCCTACCATCTGGGTGAATATTTTCAGTGAACATTCTTGAACATGTCATTAAGAAAAATATGCCAGTGTCAACTCGACAATGCCAAATTGCCTCCCCAAATGGTGGCACAGTGTCTGTTCCCGTCTTCAATGTTGAAGAGGCCCCATTGCTTCACACCCTCACCAGCATTCAATGTGTAGACTTGAGATTCCTGCCAACCCCAGCAGTGAAAAGACGGGGACTATCACTTCGGTTTGCATTTTCCTGAGCACTAGTGGGGTTGAGCATCTCAGCCACTTGGGTTTTCTCTTCTGTGACCTGCCCATTAACTCCATGGAAAAAGGGCAATGGATATTTTCTTTTTCTTTTTTTTTTTGAGACAGAGTCTCGCTTTGTTGCCCAGACTAGAGTGAGTGCCGTGGTGTCAGCCTAGCTCACAGCAACCTCAAACTCCTGGGCTCAAGCAATCCTCCTGCCTCAGCCTCCCGAGTAGCTGGGACTACAGGCATGGCCACATGCCTGGCTAATTTTTTCTATATTTTAGTTGGCCAATTAATTTCTTTCTATTTATAGTAGAGACGGGTCTCGCTCTTGTCAGGCTGGTTTCGAACCCCTGACCTCGAGCAATCCGCCCACCTCAGCCTCCCAGAGTGCTAGGACTACAGGCGTGAGCCACCGTGCCCAGCCTCTTTTGCTTTTTGATTTGTAAGATTTCTTTGGATATTCTGGACACTAAATCTTTATCAAGTACATTGCAAATATTTACTCCCCGTCTGTGGTGTGTCTTTTAACTTTGCAGGGCTATGTGTATGTGTGCATAGCATATGAAAGCATTTAGTTTTGATGCAGTCAAATCTATTTTTTGTTAATTAATCTTTCCCTCTCCTGAGGTCATGAAGATACTTGCCACATTTTGTTCTAAGACTTTTAAAGGGTTTAATATATATATATATATACACACACACACACACATTAATGTTAATGCATCTGAAATTCATTTTTGCATTCATGGGGTAAGGCAGGGATAAGATTTTATTTTTTTCAAGAGGGAAAGCCAGATGTCCTAACTCTCTGGTCTCTCCCCAATGCTCAGGACTGCCACTGCTTTGCCTCCAGCTTCCCTCAGGGACACAAATCTGGGCCCTTTTCCTGTTCTGCTGATTATATCACTTATTCTTGTACTCAACACCCATAAGTTTTAATTATTTAACTTTATGAAAAATGTGGTACCTGGTAGGGTAAAGAGGTGGGGGGAGGGTATTTGCTTTGCTCTGGGTCATCTCTGTGTATTTAAAATAGTAGTGGCTGAACTTAGAAAAGTCCATTTGCCACTCACCTGACCAGGGCTGATTTGTGGCACCAAGGGTGGAAATCTCGTGACTTTTCTGTGAAAATCTGGGTACTTTTACTTTTGGCTTTCCCCTCCCGCCCGGCCCACTCTCACCTCCAGCGTTCGGGGCTGATGTCTCTGAACCGTGTGGCGGCTCTTCCGGTGTTTACACCTGGGCCGAGGTGGCTGCTTTGTGACGGGCCGCAGCGTGATTCTGTCGGCTGCTGCCAGCCAGACCACAGCGACAGGCCTGGTGGAGTCTGGAGTTTCCTGTTGCCTCATACACACTGAGACCCCGGGTTCCAAAAATAGAAACACGAGAAACCACCGTGACCTCTCATGGTCTCTGTGCTCACACGGTGCTCCGGCACCCAGGGTGGCGCAGCCGGGCCCTCCCTGTCACAGCAGCGTGGGGTCTGAGCCTCCCCGCTCTCAGCGCCGCCCTGCCTGAGGCTCTTGTGCTCTGTCCCCGCCCCTTCAGGCAGTCACCCGCAGGGCCAAGGTGGCTTCCGGCCAGAGGATGAGCAAGTTCTTGAGGCACTTCAGTGTCGTCGGGGACGACTACCAAACCTGGAACATCAACTACAAAAAGTGGGAGAATGAAGAGGAGGAGGAGGAGGAGGAGCAGCAGCCGTCGACGCCAGCCTCGGGCGAGGAGGGCCACGCCGCAGGCCCGGATGCTGGCCCCGGCCCCACACCCAGGCCCCCGCCTGACTTCAGGAGCTCGTTGAGGAAGCTCTTCAGCTCCCACCGGTTTCAGGTAGGTAGGGCAGGAGCCCATGATGCCCCAGGCGAGGGAAGAACGTCAGGCGGCTGGCCAGAGGGGACATCTCTGCCACTGCCTCGCTTGTCCCACAGATGGTCACTGGGCACCTACCACCCGCCAGGCGCCCCGTGCCCCACTGGGGTGCAGTGGGCATGTCCTGTGTTGTTGGGGGGATGGGGGGGACATAATCTGAAAGTAAATTAAAGGCCCATCAATGAATGAATGTTAAAACGTCCATCCACACAGTGGAATACTATTCAGACATAAAAGGGCATGAAGCACTGATCCACACTATAGCATGGATGAATCTGGAAAACATGCCACGTGGAAGAAGCCAGTCACAGAAGACCACAGGTTTTGTGATTCCGTTTATAGGAAATGTCTAGGACAGGCACGTCCATAGAGACAGGAAGTAGAGTGGTGCTTGCCACAGGCTGGAGGGTTTCCATGAAGGGTGATGAAAATGTTCTGGAACTAGAGAGTGGTGATGGTCACACAGGCTTGTGAACATACTTAGTGCCACTGAACTGTAAGCCAACTTTAAAATGGTAACCATTCTGCAATGTGCAAATTGGACCATACACAAAGTAGATGAAAGGGCAGACACTGGAGACAGCCAAGTGCCGGCTCTAGAACAAGGCCAGGAGGGTCCCTGCCTCAGGAGACTTGTCACCATGGGAGTCTCTTCTCTTGTGGAGCCATGCCAGAAATGCCCGCGTGGCTGTAACCCTCCGCCGGCCCCGGGTGTGGTTGGGGGAGAGCAGCAGAGGGAGCTTGGTCCACAGTGGAGCACAGGGAACTGAACTTTCTATGGGGTTCATTTTGAAGAATATTTCTGATCTTGAAGGACCACTGCAGGTGACCCTGGCCAACCCTGCAGTGGGCAGTGTCTGGAAGCACATTTCGAGAAAAAAAATTATTTTGGTCTTTTTCCTTTTTTCACTTTCTTGTGGCTTAAAGAAAGCAAGCCAACAGCACTCGCGGCCTGCTCGTTCCTCTGTGGCTGTGATAGGAAAGGAAACGTGGCATTAAGTCATTGGGGTTGAAATCTCACACCCTCAGTTTCGGGAGAAGGAACGAGCCAGCTGCCTTCCACCTGCGAGGGGCGCCTGGGACTGCCCCTCGGGATGTCGCCACGGGGCCACTCGGCCGGCTCAGGGCTGGGAGCCCCCAGAGACACTCCTACTGGGGGAAAAGATGAATGACTTTAGTAAATCAAGATGTTTATTCACTTACTTGCTGGTTGCTTATTGAGCACCTACTGTGTACAGTGGCAAACGTGGCGGACACGTCCCTGCCCCCACTGAGGTTCCGACAGCCTGTGGAGAGGCAGGAATTACAGGAATCGTCACCGAGACGCATACTGGTTACAGGGGAGACAGAAGCTCTCTGTAAGGAGACAGAAGGGGGCTCCGAGAGATCCTGGGGGTGCAGGGAGACCTGGTTGAGGGCTGGAGTTGGAGGAGGTGAAATGTCACCTGCCGTGAGGGGGCAGGAAGGAGCTCTCCAGGTAGGGGGCTGCCCGTGCCAAGGCCCCAGGTGGGAGAGTGCCCGCAGCGTCCAGGGAACGGACAAGAGTGCATGTGGCTCGAGTTTAGCAAGCAGGGCCATTGCCTAGCAAGAGAGGAGGCGAGGGACGGTTATCCGTAGGCAGTGGGCTGCCATTCAAGGTTCTAAGTGGTTGGGGGGTGACATCAGACTGGTGGAAGGATTCAGGGGGAACCAGGAGGCCAGGCTGGAGCCAGGGCATGAGGGTTCAGGGGTGTCGATTTCTGCAGGTAGAATCAGCAAACAGGAAGGTTCTGAAATCCCCTTCTCAGGTGGTTTGAGGTGGCCGAGGTGACACGATAGTTAACCCCTGTCACTTCTTACACGGACCAGCACAATTAAGGGAGAGAACACGAGGTGATTGAGGCCTCCATGGGTCCCCGGATGGACAGGATAGAGTCAAGCCAAGGGAAGGTGGTCCTGAAGGTCAAGGACTTCATTTTGTTCCTTTGCACCATGGGCCAGGCCCTATGCTGGGCACTCTTCACGAGGACCTCCTGTCACGCTCCCACTATCGCTCTGGTGTAGAAATTCGGCCAACCCCATTTTCCCCAGGAGGACACTAAAGCCAAGGCTCGGCCCAGGGTGCGCCCTGCACCTCTGGACTCTGGCTGGGTACAGCCATCCTCACCAGGGGGAGGGATTGGAATTAACTGGCTTCTCTGAATTCTCAGCATTTTTCTTTGTGGCGTGGCTCCCCTCAGAAACCAGAAATTCAGGGCCTTGGGATTAGTTCCTAGAGGCCAGGGTTGGGACCCAGGCATCGTAATTTGGTGACTTTGGGTCAATTTGTCTCCTTTTTATTTTGGTGGTTTTCTTTTTTAAATTGAGGTGAGATTCACATAACAAAATCAATCATTGTAAAGTAGATAATTCTGTGGCATTTATTTAGGACATTCACGATGTTGTACAACTCACCAATATCTAGTGCCAGAACATTCTCATCACCCCAAATGGAAACCCTTTACCCATTAAGCAGTCATTCTGCATTCCCCTTTGTCCCCAGACGTTGGCAACCATTAATCTGCACTTTGTCTTTATGGATTTTCCATTTCTGGACGTTTTATGTAAATGGGATCATATAATATATGGCCTTTTGTGTCTGGCTGCTTTCACGTAATACGATGTTTTCAAGGTTCATCCACATGGTAGCCTGAATATCAGGTCTGTTCCTTGTATCTCTGTGTCTTGGTTTTAGACCCCATGAGCTCTCAGATCCCTTTAGCTCTAAAATCAACAGAAAAAAACAGAAAACCTACCTGAGGCTTGAACTTTTATTAAACTGCTGAATTTGAGTATATGTGAAAACTGCATTACAAAGCAATTTCTTGGGTCATTTTCACAGTAAACCACGTCATCAAATACTTTAATTACTGAAATAATTACCTACAGGTTGAAATGGTCAAAGGATTAATAGTTTGTTCTTGCATAGGCCTGAATTTGTTTAATTTGAATCTGAAACTGCAGAAATTGCCAAGATAACGGTAGATTAATTTTCAGAGGTTAAAATCTATTGATCTGAGAGTGCGAGAAGCCAGGCCCCGGGGGGAGGAGGTGATGGTCCAGAATGTCCAAGGGAAGAGAAGAGTCACACAGGGTCCTTCAGGCCTAACTTCAGGTTAACTGAGGCTCAGTGGTGTTGACACGTGCTGAGGCCGGGGCTGATGGAGCTGGGGCGAGCCCGCCATTAGTGTCCTCGGTCACCAGGACTGCCACTACCACCAGCTGTTTCCCACACCCGCCACCAGTGAGACCACCCACCCACCCTGGTCCCCACTCATCCTCCTCCACCGGCAGGTCACAAAGCCCACGAGATGGGCTTCCCCGCAGCAGCTCCCCTCAGTTCCCAGGAAACCGTGGGCCCTGAGGAGCACATGGGAACCGGGCGAGCACCTCGGGGCTCTGTGGAGCTGGCCTGTGAGCGCGGTGGCCATCGCTGTGACCCAGTGGCCTGAAGTAGGCAGTCCATGGACGTCCCTTCCAGGATTCAAATCACTGAGGCTGGGACATGTTGAATGATTAAGCATCTGTTCTGCGGGTGCCCTGGCAACAGCAAATCCCCAAAACACAAGTAAAGACTTTAAAAAAGATTTTTTATCTTTTGCCATCTAGGAAGTGGCAGTGGGGCTTGAGAGGTGAAATTGAGAAACAGTGACCGAGGTCAGCAGATGAGCCGTGCAAAGAGAGAGGCTCTGGGAAGGCAGGCACCGCCCGGAGGGGGGAGAGGTGGGTTTTGCCATTGGCTGGACAGAGGCTGGCCCCCTCAGGCTCCCTCCCAGGATCTTTACCGGTAGTTTCACCCAGCCATCTCCAAACCAGCGCTTAAGGTGGGAGTAGCGTGCCTGCTTGAGTCTCACGTTTCTGGCCCATTCCCTCGGCCCGCAGGTCATCATCATTTGCCTGGTCGTCCTGGATGCCCTCCTGGTGCTTGCCGAGCTCATTCTAGACTTGAAGATCATCCAGCCAGACAAGAATAAGTACGCTGCCAGGGTAATGTCGCAGTTCTTCTGGGGTTTTACTGATACGGTTCACTCTGCTATCCGCTGCGGGTGCGTGGTGAAGCAGCTCTCACCTACTGGAGTAGCAGGGCCCTCTGGGATGGTGGTTTGATTGGGTGTTTTAGTCAAGGGGCAGAGAAGGTGTCTTCCTTCCCAAATTATAGATGAGCATTTACTACAAGCAGGAAACCCCATTTCACTTGGTTAAATAGTGAGCGAAGCTGGACCACTGGGCTGGAGAGTGTGGCTGATCCCAGAGGGGCTGTCCACCCAGGAGCGTGGCTGGCTTTCCGGTCCCCTGGGGCAGGAGGGCTGTTTCTCCTCTTGTTTTCCTCTTGTTGATGATCTGCATGTCCCCCAAGCTGGAGCCACTGGGGGAAGTGCTTACCCGTGCCCTGAAGTGGCAAAAATGGCAGAAAGAGACATTAAGACTCCTCACTCCTGGTACCTTTGCAGAGGCGCCCTGTGAGGCTGCCTTCCCTGCCAGCCCTGGTTTTTGCATGGAAGGAGAAGCATCTGCCCTCTCCATTTTCTAATAGAATCCACGAAGATACCGGCTGTACTTACCATCTTTCTTCTCACATTTTTATTATGAAAAATAGTAGACATTTTGCTGTATTTGCTTTATCACCTTATATGCCCACAGACACATTTCTGTCTGACCATTCAACATCTCGACACTTCACCCCTAAAGACTTCAACATGCCTACGGATAAGATCTTTCTGCTACAAGGCCATAATAGCGCCATCAGACCTAAAGATCAATCCCACCTAATAACCACTTTTATTCACACGTCCTCTCTTGTCCCAAGAATGTCCCTTACAGTGTGTTTTCTCAAACTGGGACCCAGACCTCCAGTATTCTATTTCATTATCTCACCTTGGGCTTTTGTAATCTAGAAGAGTCCTCACACCCTTTTTCATTTCTTTTTACTGCATGACATTGACTTTTTGGAGAGTCCAGCCAATTGTCTTGTAGGATGTCCCATGTTCTGGATTTGTTTGAATATTTCCCCAGAGGTCCTTGACCTTGTGTCTTAACCTCCTGTGTACCAGAGGTTAGGGCCTGGGCTCGGTCAGCAGGCATTCCTCCTTGATGGTGGTGCCTTCAGGGACACGTAGTGCCAGGGTCCCAGCTTAGTGCCACTCAGCTGGATCACTTGATGTAGGTGGCAAAAGCCAGACCACTCCACGGTCTGGGGGCCCTTTTCCCTTTGCCGTTATAAACGACCTGCCGCTGACACTTCGGTACCATGCAAACACCCTCTCCCCCAGTTGGCATCCCTTGGTGATGCTGGCCTGTGTCAGCAAATACGCTGGCAGATGCTAAGGGGTGATTTGCTAGTTCTGTCTCTCCTTCCACATTTAGTAGTTGGTATTCTTCTGCAAGGAAGAGCTTTCCTCCTTCTTCCCCCAACTTGTGTCTGTATGCGTGGGTGTACCTCACTAGACTTAGGAATTTTTTATTTCAGTGTATCATAATCAATGTTAGTCATTATTTTTGATGTTCAAAATGTCCCAAATTGGGTCACTGTGAGCCTCTTCAAGCTGACTACTGTGTCATTCTGACATATCTCCATAAGTCTTTGAAAGTGTCCTTGCTTTCTGGCATAAGAAATCTAAAACTTGGTACTTTCCCCATGGCAGACCTAGGAATGGTTACCTTACTGTGAGGACAAGTACTTATAAATCAAGATCTAGGGACTCTTTGCAATTACCACCTGCCGTGGTGATCATTCCTAAGTGGTACACGTGGGTCTGCTTTAGTCTTTTCATTTTTTCTTTTTATTTTTAAGAGAGGGGGTATCACTATGTTGCCCAGACTGGACTCGAACCCCCGGACTCAAGTGATCTTTCCACCTTGGCCTCTGGAGTAGCTGGGATTACAGGTGTGCACCACCTACCTGGCTTAGTCTTTTTGAACAGTTTAACTACAATTGCCAGTGCTCCATGTCAGGTGGAGGTACTACCATTCACTTGAAGAGTGCCTTCTAATGGATATTTACATTCTACAAACGGTGTAGGAAATGGAAGATCTTTGGCTCTGCAAACAGTGCTGCAGTAAGTCTCCTTACCACACATCTTTGTGCACAAGTGAGCTTAGCTGGAGGATAAGTTCTTAGCTGTGGAATTGCCGAGCCAAAGGCTATGGTGGATGTTTTAATTCTGACGTTGCCCAATTGCCCTTCAGAGAGCGGGGCCCTTGTCTGTGATGTTCATGCTGCATTTCCAGCACTGAGAACAGCGCCTGGTGCTGGTAGTTCAGTATTTGTCCAACAAATGACTTTGCTCTTTGGTAACCAGGCAGGTGTACTCGAGGTCAGCCCGTCTGTGTGACCTGCCCCAGCTGGTGACCGAGGCCCAGATTTGCTCTGACTGTGGCTCCTTGTCCCCTTCAGGTGTTCCACTACATGAGCATTGCCATCTTGGCCTTTTTTATGATGGAGATTTTCTTTAAAATATTTGTCTTCCGCCTGGAGTTCTTTCACCACAAGTTTGAAATCCTGGATGCCATCGTGGTGGTGGTCTCGTTCGTCCTTGACATTGTCCTCCTGTTCCTGGAGCATGAGTTTGAGGCTCTTGGCCTGTTGATCCTGCTGCGGCTGTGGCGGGTGGCCCGGATCATCAACGGTGCGTCTGCCGCGCTCCTGGGTGGTGGAGGCACGGGGGTGCGGGCGGGCCCGGAATGGGTTGGCGGCATGGCTGCTTTGTCACTCTGGATGCGCTCACATGTGGACAGCTCCCATGATGGAAGCTACCACCTCCTCCTTCCCTACCATCCCCCGCCCTTCCTCTTTCCTCCCAGAGTCTAGAGAAAAGTGAAGTGGTGTGTTTTGGTGTCGCTGGCACCTCTGCAGCTACATACTGAGACCAGACCGTGTATTCTGAGAGGAACTACCTTCTCCGTTAGGCTATATTTTCACAATTATTAAAAGATAGTTATGGGCCGGGCGTGGTGGCTCACGCCTGTAATCCTAGCACTCTAGGAGGCCGAGGCGGACCAAATGATCGAGGTCAGGAGTGCGAAACCAGCCTGAGCAAGAGCAAGACCTCGTCTCTACTATAAATAGAAAGACATTAATTGGCCAACTAAAAATATATAGAAAAAATTAGCCGGGCATGGTGGCACATGTCTGTTGTCCCAGCTACTCGGGAGGCTGAGCAAGCAGGATTGCTTGAGCCCAGGAGATTGAGGTTGCTATGAGCTAGGCTGACACCACGGCACTCACTCTAGCCTGGGCAACACAGTGAGACTCTGTCGAAAAAAAAAAAAAATTATGGGCTGGGTGTGGTGGCTCACGCCTGTAATCCTAGCACTCTGGGAGGCCGAGGTGGGAGGATCGCTTGAGGTCAGCCTGAGCAAGAGTGAGACTGTCTCTACTAAAAATAGAAAAAATTAGCCAGGTGTGGTAGCATGCACCTGTTGTCCCAGCTACTTGGGAGGCTAAGGCAGGAGAATTGCTTGAGCCTAGGAGTCTGAGATTGCTGTGAGCTAGTATAATGTCACGGCACTCAACTCAGGGCAACAGAGCGAAACTCTGTCTCAAAGAGAAAAATTTATGGAAAGGGTTACTAGCCCCTCCTGGGTTTTTCCCAGCCAGCGCATCTTTGTTTTTAATTTAGTGTTTCCTGAAGGGGATTCTACCAAACCCGGCCCACCCTGGGAGGGCACCGTCCAGGCGGAGGCGAGTCAGCTGAGAAATGCTCTATGCTGCATTCCTCCCCTTTTAGAGAGCGTAAAAGCACGATAGTGTGAGGAAGGCTCAAGAACTTTTAAGTCTTCCAAATTAATGTTTGGGTACCTTTTTGGGAAATGACGCCTAGTCAGATACCGCAGACCCTGGCTGTGGAGCATGTACTTGGGGAAATCCCGTCTTCCCAGATTCCAGGCAAGACTCCTGGTCCTCACACACACCCTGTGGTCCAGGGCCTCAGCTGCAGGGAAGCCGTGCTGCTGCTGTGACTTGCTTGTGGGTAGGGTGGGTTCAGCTGCCCCTAAGCTGGTCAGAACTGCTCAAATGCTTGTCTGTGGACCTGCTGCATCAGAGTCACCTTCAAGGCTTTTTTTTTTTTCCAAATGAGCCTGATGCAGAGGGCCTGGCGGGCAGCCCGGCCAGGGGTTTTTGAAGCACTCCCAGGTGCTCTGGGTGTCCAGCCAGCTTTGGGAGTCCCCAGACTAGGGCCCACTAGATCCGCTGGGACAATAGGCTATGGATTACTGTCTGGAGGGTGAGGGAGTGACAGTGTGGCCTCATGGTTTCTGAGAATAGCTGCCTGGGGAAGGAGCCCAGTGAGCCCTGTCACGGCGCCCTGGCTCCACGGCCCACTTGGCTCCAGCATGACCTAGCCCGTACAGGACCAGGTCTGCTTCAGATGTGGGACTGTATAAACAGCTCGGTCTGTGAATTCTGGCTTTAGGGGCTGGTTATGAGCAAGTTTAGATCTAGCAATTAAAACCCATTAAGAACATTCACTTGGGCTGGGTGCGGTGGCTCATGCCTATAATCCTAGCACTCTGGGAGGCCGAGGTGGGTGGATCGTTTGAGCTCAGGAGTTAGAAACCAGCCTGAGCAAGAGTGAGACCCCATCTTTACTAAAAATAGAAAGAAATTAATTGGCCAACTAATATATATAGAAAAAATTAGCTGGGCATAGTGGTGCATGCCTGTAGTCCCAACTACTCGGGAGGCTGAGGCAGGAGGATTGCTTGAGCCCAGGAGTTCGAGGTTGCTGTGAGCTAGGCTGATGCCAAGGCACTCACTCTAGCCTGGGCAAGAGAGTGAGACTGTTTTTTGTGTTTTTGGTTTTTTTTTTTTTTTGAGACATTCACTTGGATTTTGTTAAAAGGGAGCCTTTCGGTTCCTACCGAAGCTGCTTACGTGGAAAGGGAGCGCTTTCAGCCCGTGGCATCTGTGCACACTGCTGCCGTGTACCGACGCTGGCGCGAACAGGTTCTGGATTAAGGAGCTTAACGCTCATCTTGTCAGTGACTAGTCTGAAAGACTTCCCAGCCGTGTGGGCTAAAGAGATACACTGTGTAACTGGGAACCAAGCAGTTCAGAAAGGAAACCCTGACCCGCCTGGTTCTGCTGCCTCTAGGTGATGACTGTCGCATGGGTCTGTCACCACTCTTCCCAATTACATGTGTGTATAAGAACACAGATTTTTTTGCCCTGAGTGGTTAAATTAGAAACCAGTATCAAAGACCCTCAATTTTATTTCAGGGATAATTATCTCAGTTAAGACACGTTCAGAACGGCAACTCCTGAGGTTAAAACAGATGAATATACAATTGGCCGCCAAGATCCAACACCTTGAATTCAACTGCTCTGAAAAGGTAAGAGACACGTTTGGAGAAATGTCCTGTTTGCAGTTCCCTCCTTCAGCAGGTGCTTCTCACGTTCCTGCGGTGCCCTCAGCTTGGAGCACCTGTCCCTTGAGCAAGTCTTCCTTGTCCTTTCAGCTTAGGCATCAAAGCTATGCCCACCTGCCCCAGAGTTCTGCCAGGTCCCCACCTCTGAGTCGGTGCTGCTATCTGATTGTAGCAGGCTCCATAGCCGGCTGAATGCTACAAAGAGTATAACTTTCATTCATCTTTGTGTCCCTGTGCCTCACTGAATGATTGTCACATCCTTGGTGAGACTCAAAATAAATCCTCACATTTGTTGGCTTTTGAATAGGAACAAGAAATTGACAGACTTAACAAGCTGCTGAGACAGCATGGACTTCTTGGTGAGGTGAACTAGACAGGAACTGACTCCGCTCCAAAGAGAAGACTCAGCCTCACAGGCCTGTGCCAGGATGAGAGAGAGACAGCCACCTTTCCTGGGGCCATTTGGTGAGAGGTTTGGTTCGATGCCATTGCTGCACTCCTGCCCAGCTTGGATTGTGGGTGGACACAGCCTTTCAGAAGGTTCTATTTCTTCCTTGGTGCCCACCCGGCACTGTAACAAATATATCAAACTATATTTTCTCATACTGAACACTTTTTACCTTTGCTTGAAAATGAGCAATGAAGCTGGACAATTACTAGTTGTATATAGAATTTAATCTCATCCAATGCAGTTTTCAAATTTCACGTGTATATTGAAGAACCAGCACAGCTTTTTGAGTATTCTGAAAGAAAAAGAGAAGCTACTTTAGCTACCAGCCCATTCTAGAAAAGTCTTATTTCCAAGCTGTTCTAAACAGCTTCTCTTGTCCCAAGTTTCCCTAGGGAGTGCGTTTCCCAGCTGTACCATGCAGCTTCTAGCAGGCGCCACCTAGTTCTGCCACCTGACAACATTTTTCTCAATTACTGTACAATTACTGTTTAAAATAAACTCTTTCCTTCCCTTGGGTCCTCCTACTGTATTCTTTCCTCTGTGGCATCCTATACCAGCCTGCCAGTTGGAGAGCTAGCTCCATGCCTGGTACAGAAACGGCAATTAGACCCAAGACTGCACTGTAATTAACGTGATATTTGGGGGATGATCCCCTCGTGAGGCTTTGTACTCACATGATTTGATACAATATTTTGCTATTTTTATACTCATTTCAACAAGACCTGAAAAGGAAAAAGAACCCGAACTAAAAACAATGAATCTTTTAAAAATAACTCAAAGCCGAGGGTGAATAAACTAGATCTTCCACGCCTATGCCACTTCAAGGTCTATTCTCTTTACCATTCCCCCCAAAGACAATTTGATTTCTGTACGTGATGTACGTCTTGAGAGTACTAGAAAGGACTAAGACCAGATGTTTCCCCACTCTACATTAAAACCACATAGAATTACATTTCCAAAAGGAAAGAGGAGGGAAGTGAGTAGAGAGGGGCAGTATGTTGGACTGGAGGCAACCTCAAGGGTATAATAAAATGCGATGTCTCTGACGGACTTCTGGCCCCACACCACACTATTCTAAAGGTGAGGACCCTAGAGGTGGGGTGCAGTTTGCTTAAATAACAACTTACATCAAACAAACGGGAAGAAGAAGTTAAAGGGCAGCCTGGCGTTGATGGTTGGCAGGGCGCGGAAGCCTGCCTCTGCAGGTGCAGACACATCCACGAAAGTAACTGCCGTGGAAATAAGAATTATCTTTTCATTTCCCGCATCAGGCTGTAATAAAAAGCCAAACATGTAAGCCCCACTGTCCAGTGTAGTAACAGGATCACAAAGATGAGACATTTTTCACTGTTAGTTCACGAATCTGATTGGTAGCAGAGCACTAATTGGCTGTTGACTTAGATGAAAGTTTTCCCCTGGTCGTCCTGATTAACACATCCATATCAGTCATAACTCAAATTTCATGAGCATTTTAAAGATCACATCTAAACCAGAATGCTAATGTGAACAGAACCACCATCAGTGGAGGTGTTTTGTTCTCTATTGAGTTTTGTCTGGATTTCTGTCTTAACCTGAAGCTTTAAGCCAAAGTTGGGCCCACCTCGGGGAAGGAGGATGAAATCAGATGTGCAGTCACGTTCACTACTCTGGCCTGTGGATTCAGTAAGGAGCCGTATTTAGTCCATTTCACTTCTACAACCAAAGCCACTGGCAGCTGGCAAGAATCCTGCAAAATAAAATGCCATTAATCAATTTGAATATTATATAACCTCAAGTCAAACCTAATCTGCTGTTCAGAGTTTTAATTATAAAATGTTTCACATATTACAAAATGTTCTGAACAAGAGAATGAATAGACTGTAGAAGTTCAGATAAAAACAGCTTAGAGAAAACACATATTTTAAAGTACTAAATGTTCTAAAAGTATTTTAACACCTAAAGCATAATTTTTCCATCTCCTATTTCTAAAAAGGCCAGCATCACCTGGGATTGTGGCGTGATGCCAGCACCCCACTGTGGAGCCTTCAGGGCTTTAACTGCTCTACCTTCATCTACCTGTTTACATCCATCTCAGACTTCGGGAGAGAAACTGGTGGGAGAGAGAATGTAATTATTAATACACAGAAATGAAACCTAATTGCATATTACATTAAAGTACACTGAGGAAATCTGAGTGCTTTATTTTCACTTATCTAATTTCATCAGTTGGCAATTAAGATATATTTGGGTATCCAAGCAGTGTATGTAGTCAAAAATATTAACCCCTCTTCACCTGCATTGAGAACGTTAGTGCCACAACTGAGCCACCCAAGTCCAGGAGCTGGGTCTAAGCCTTTGCCCTGGGACCTTTCTTTGGCCAGCCCCCAGGGGAAAGCAGGGAAGCGGGTAAGCAGTCTCTTCAGGTGGTAAGTGTATTGAAGCTGCAGGTGGGGGTAGATGGGGACTCCATGGTACTATTTTACTTATGTGTATGTTTACCATTTATCCATAACAAGTTTTTAAATACATCTTTTCAGGCCATGAAAAGCTTAGAGGCCTGCTACATTTGGTGCCTGCCAAAAAGGCACTGACGAATTCCTCAGTTTGGAACTGCCTTTTTAAAACCTTGCAGGCTGAACAATCCTTGCAGATATCCTATTGTTAGAAGACGCACCATGCAGCTGGTGTAAGCTGAGCTCAGCAGATGCTCTCATGCCTGCTGCTACCTGGGTTTCCTGCAGAGTTGGTACAAAACCCGCTGCAGGCCCCGTGAGTGCCCTGGAGCAGCACAGACCCTGGCAGTGCTCCGTGCACACGGCTGCTCTCCTTCCTCCCTGTGCCTTCCCTTCCGAGGGGGAGTAATCATTGGATGTCTTCGCCCATCACCGAGAAGCCGGAAGAAATGTGCCTGATTCACTGGGGCGGCAAAGCTGAGCCAAGACTCCACAGTGAAGCAGCAGGGACCGAGTGGTCCAGGGACTCGGTGGGGAGGGCAGGCTCGGAGCTGGTGAGCCAGTCCTTAGTCACTATGCCAGGCTATAAATACGCTGAGAGGATAATGAGAGGCCTGAAGAAACTGTGACAAGAAAAAGCCGGGCAATTAGAGAATAAGACGGAGAGCACGCCTCCGGTGATGGGACCAGCCCACACTCTGACTGCTAAGACAAAAGGAAAAGGTGGGCAGAGGAATCACATGTGACCAGGAACCTATTTGTAGGATGTCAATTTCCATTAAACTCTTTGGGGAGCTCTGAGAACTCTCGTGCGTGGGCTGCCTTCACAGACCAGGGAACCACAGAGGGGAGAAGTCTCGGTCTTTGAGTCAGGCCTCACAATTGTCTATCGTATCATGAGATGCCAGGGGGTACTCAGGGAACACCAACAATCACAGTAGTGATCATAGGGTGGTGGTCAGTAGCATCACACCAAGGGCCAGAAGAATGTCACCTCATTTATCGCTGTCCACCACCCCATGCAGTCCACCACCCCATAACTTTCGTTCCCATTTCTCAGATGAGGAAACATGCTCAAACCCATAGAATTGCTGGCCAAAGGCAACATAGCTGTCAAGGGGCAAAATCAGTATTCAAAATTCAGGAGAATCTGATAACAAAGCCCAAGCTCCCACCCAGAGCCACCCTACTTCCTGAACAGGTGGCTTCCCCGGCTGCCTGTGTCCCCGACCTGGAAGAGGGAGAGACTGCTAGTATGTAGCCTTCACCTATTCCCCTTACCTTCACGTTGTATGACTGGGTGATGAAGTGGATGGGCACCCAGTCCAGCGCATCCTGGGCCCGGGAGTTTCCGAAAGGGGCCACGTGATCTGGGAAGCCCTGGCCCTTCAGCAGGCTCTCCACCTTCTGCGCCATGAGCCAGCATGGGAGAGCTTTGGTCAGTCTTTGAGAGAGAAAAAGAGGTCAACTGAGCAAGTCTGTTGTTCCTCTACCAGCAGTTTTTAAAGGCCTCCACATGCATGCTTTTCCAGTTTTATTATTTTATCACTCCAAAATGGGGATTATTTGACAGAAACTAAAGTGTCTGTAGGCTAGGCACACTGGCTCACACTAGTAAGCCCAGCACTTTGGGAGCTGAGGCAGAAGGATTACTTGAGGCCAAGAGTTCAAGACTAGCCTGAGCAACATAGTGAGACCCCTGCCTCTACAAAAAGCAGACAAATTAGCCAAGTGTGGTGCTGCCTGCCTGCCCATAGATAGTCTCAACTACTACAGAGGCCAAAGCAGGAGGATCCCATGAACCCAGGAGTTTGAGGCTGCAGTGAGTTATGACGATGTTACTGCACTCAAGCCTGGGTTGATAAAGCAAAACCTGTCTCAGGAAAACAAACAAACAAACCAGAAAGTCTAAGTTTGTGAAATCTTGGCCAGGAGGACGAGTCTAAAACAATGTTTCCCAAACTGTATTCCACTGAAGCTCTCTGTACAAGAGGGGTTCCATGGCCAAAAAGTTGGGGAAACTTTGCATCTCCATGTCCTAATGTCCTTCCTGAAGCATATTTGCACATTAAAGGCTCTGAGAATTCCCATAAGAAGGAATCATGGTTTTCACGTTAATTTGGTGTTTCCCAAACATATTGGACTATAGATCTACCCCTCTGACATCATGTGGAAATGTGTTCCACGGAACCTCCTTTGAGAAACGCTGGTCTAAAGAGATCAGCACTAACACTGTAAAGGGTGAATGTGGATCTAATCAAAGTCATGTTGTAACCACCCTGGGGAGATGTGGGAGGTGTGCACGCGGGGAGGAGAATGAAGGGCAAAGAGCCAAATCGTCATCTTCCATGGTGGGAACTCAATATAAAATTCATAAAACCAAAAAAATCAAGAAGTAGCATTACATACAAGTTATCTAAAGATATGGGAGTAGATTTCCAAAAAAAACCAGCTACAAGAGTTGAAAGTGGTGGCGGCTGGAGTGGGGCAAAGTAGGATAAGAACTGTTTTTTTGTTGTTGTTTTTATTGAGACAGAATCTCACTTTGTTGCCCAGGCTAGAGTGAGTGCCATGGCGTCTGCTTAGCTCACAGCAACCTCAAACTCCTGGGCTCAAGTAATCCTTCTGCCTCAGCCTCCCGAGTAGCTGGGACTACAGGCATGGGCCACCATGCTCGGCTCATTTTTTCTATATATATTAGTTGGCCAATTAATTTGTTTCTATTTATAGTAGAGACGGGGTCTCACTCTTGCTCAGGTTGGTTTCGAACTCCTGACCTCAAGCAATCCGCCTGCCTCGGCCTCCCAGAGTGCTAGGATTATAGGCGTGAGCCACTGCGCCTGGCCAAGAACTGCTGTTTTTATAACAAAACATGCAGAGCTACTTGACATTTTTGTGTTATGTGCATATTTGAAAATAAAAAGATAAAAACATTCAAGCTTCCCCACACTGGTTTTATTGTACTGTGTATATTAAAATTCAGAAATATACTTTCAGAGGAAATTTTTGCTATTAACTCAAAGGTTATGCAACCTTAAAAACGAAACATAAAAAGCCTTGAGACTTTTACACTGCCATAGTT